ATCATGATCCATTGATAGAAGATAAGAAGACAAATGTCAATGGACTAGGTTTAGATTACATCTAAATTAAAAACCAATTTGAACAGATTGAATAGTCTATACATTGAATTGGATTGGTCCAAAATGGTCCAAACTACCCATTGGATTTGGATTAGACCTTGTCCATCTATAGTGGACACATGTAGTATCGGATTGAACCAAATCTGGTCCAATTGACACCCCTACCACCGTGTATGCAATGTGTAGTTGTAGATCATGTTGTTGTTGGAACATGTTGGAAAAGATTTTTACTCGATCGGATCAGATGTGCTGCTACCCACTACTTGTTCCCACATCCCTACCCATGGGACATAACAGGTGCACATTGAAAATATCTCCCTTTTCACACGGTGGCGGTGTTCCATGGGTATAGATGTGGGAACAAGTAGTGGGTAGCAGATCGAAGGCCATTCATACCGGTAGCCATGTACATCTCCCTAGGTGTGTTCATGGTTCGATTAACCAAATCATAGAGTTTTTGTTTTTTAAACCAAACCGGTCCTATTGGTTTTTTCATATCCCCAAATCGAAACTGAACCAATATCACTGCTTAACCGATTGACCTGTTTCTATTTTTGACCAGTTTGATTCTTCGGTTTTTTAAGTTTTTGTATTTATAACATATATTACAAATAAATATATAAAACATTATATTATAAATAATAAAATGACATAATATATTATAAATATGTATATTATATTATAAATATATAATATATAATATATGTATATATATAATATTATATATTTTAAATAGATAAATATAAATAAATAATTATAAAATATAATATATGTATATGTTTATATAATATATATATATATATTTATATAGATAATATTTAAATATATTAAAAATATATATAAAATATACATAAAAATATATATTGATCAGTTCGATTAGCTCCATTTTTTCGATTCAGTTTATTCCATTCGGTTTGATTTTTCAAATGTTCAGCACCCCTACATCTCCCATGAAATGATAACATTGAAATATGGAAAATGCTCCTGAAATATTTACAAAGTTCTCTTACAGCTTTGGKTGCATAGTTCTGTCATCCAATTTAACTTGTGTAACATTATAAATGTTTTTTCTGCAATACAAGCTGAAATGTTTGCCATTTTGCAGGTTCTGCTTGTAACTGTAACAAAGTTTATGTTATATAAGATGCCAAACAAGTAATAGATGCTCTCAGTGACAATCAGAAGTTYCTTGGACTTACCTTTGGATTTTGAATAGGATTAGGGAGCTTTTGATTCAAAAACTTTTTGTCAAATTCTGTTTTGTATCTTATCTTKAATTTTTTGTTTATCCTTCTTACCCAGTCGGGTAGAAAACTTTATAAATATTTATCTGGTTTAATATTATGCATCACTTCAAAAAAAATGACAACAAATCACGAGCAAATTCAGATTCGGAAGGGGAGTTCAGATTTATTCGCAACGCAGGATCCAACATACAAATTCAGTACRCATTGTAGCCGTGCAATAGGAACATCTCCCTGGTTCACGGCGAGCGAGACTTCCCCCGATGTACYGTGATCGTTATTTGGACCCTGTTGGGACCAGATCCGAACATACACCGACACTGGATTTACTGCCGAAGCATCTGTGGAGGAGTAGATCCGGACTGCTTTATATTATTATTAAACTGGGCACAAAATCAGCTCGTACAAATTTAATTACATTTAAACGGACGGTAGATACATCCTTAACTTTTCTTGGATGCGGATCCATTCGATGTTTGTCTTCATTTTCTCGAACAATTTGCCAGGTGGCAAGTAAGGGCCTCATACACGTAGACCGTCCTGTGTCCCCACCACAGGAGGTGAGGTGAAGAGACTTCTATTAGGCTCTACGTTTTTTTGACCTTCCAGTTCCAGCAGTCACACTCAAACTGCTCGTTGTAAGTTTCCAACCAACCAACTTGGCAGTCATCTCTCTGCACTCTGCGCTCTGCGCTCTGCGCTCTGCGCATCACAGAGAAACCCAAGATATAGCTGTATGATCCCGCAAAGGCACTTGACATTTTCTTATATCGACAATTCTTTCACCCAAATGGCAGAAACCCATATACCTGCAGCACTTCTTTTTATCCTACTCATTTCAAGCTCACTTCTAGTGGTGGATTCTGCCATTGGTGTGAACTGGGGTACCATCTCCTCTCATCGGATCCCACCCTCCGTAGTGGTCGACCTCATGAAGGCAAACAAGATACAGAAGGTGAAGATCTTTGACACAGACCCAGATGTTCTTTCTGCTCTAATGGGTAGTCGGATTGAGGTCATGGTGGGGATCCCAAATGGGATGTTGGCGCTGTTGGCTTCATCTCCCGTTGCTGCAGATTTATGGGTTAGCCAGAATGTGTCCAGATATATGGTTAAAGGCGGAGTTGATATCAGGTAATTCTGCATTTATGCTTCTCGCCTTTTTCCCTTTGTCTTTCTTCACCGCCTATTAGATTTTGATATGTTTTTGCTTACAATTTCTTGATTTTGATTCATAGATTCTAAATTGATGTTCGGTTCTGTTTATGGCTTTGTGGAGATACTCTTTCTTTTCGACCAATGGTCTTAAAATCTCTGGGCTGGCATCTTTTTGTTTCAGTGCTGCCAGACGTTTCTTTTTCTACACCATTCTTCAATATATTGTATCTCTTTGGTTGCTTCTTACATACTACGAGGAGCTTCTGTTTGCCATATATATATTTGTTAATTTGTTCCTTTTTCTTTTGGGGTGGAGTGGAATAAGTGAGGACTGAGGAAGAACATGATCAATTTGGGAGTTTGGTTAAGGTTGGTGGTGGTACGCCAATTGTCTTTTTTTTTTTTTATTCATTGAACCAACTCCTCGCCTTCTCGGACAGGGTAATTCACTAATTTGGACACTCTCATTGAACTACCTCAGTTTCTTCTCCACTAAATCTTGCATCAAGACTATAGATGCAGCTTTGACCTAAACTATTTCTTTTTTCCTTTTTTTTTTTGAAAAAGTAAATTATTGTATTGAATTGAAAAGGTTGCCAAAAATATACCACTACGCGAGTACATTGAGAAGACTGTACATAGGGTTATACAAAAGGTTAAGAGTAAAGAGTCCCCAAATCAAACAAAGACTGCCTAGGGAGTAGGGACCCCATGAAAATACAGAAATCCTTCTGTATACTTAGCCATGAGTACAACATGCCTACAACGCCTCTGTGTATCGGCAGAGGCGTATTGAAACTTAGAAACACATAGAAACACTTTTTTTTTAGCTTTTTTTTTCAAAATTTAGTTTTTGGGGAGTTAAAAACATTTTTTTTTATTGAAAAAGAGTAGGGTCCCGAAACACCTGGAAACCCAAAAGATAGATACGATATCGGGCGTATAGTATCCAAATTTTGAACCTTGATAAGATTCTTTTCAATTACAGCCATTTCCTTAGATTTACCATCAAAGATTCTCAGGTTTCTTCAGCCATGTCATTAGATTTACCATCAAAGATTCTTAGGTTTCTTTCCTTCTAAGCAGCCTAGATGATAGCAGCAGGGAAAATGCTCCATAAAAGTTTCCCTTTTCTGCTAAAGCCCTGCATTCTCCATCCTTGAAAAGGAATCACCTTTGGCGTGAACTGGTACATGGATTTTAAATGAAAATTTCCCTTATCAATTTCCTATATTGGAAAGAATCTACATTGGACAAGCATTTCACAATGTCTTAAGAGTTAAGAGATAAAATCCAGGCATCGCCACTTACACATCAAGGGCTAACTCCTTCTGTCAATGTTTGCATGCTATTCATCCTCAAGTATCTTAATGAACAATCTCGTTCCAAGTTAGCTATTTGCTTCCCTACTTAGGTTGATATTCTCAACTCAGCATTCTTTCTGCCTCCACATCCCATGCTTGGTGCAGCTCTAAGTCGTCAATACATGAGATGCATTTATTATCACCAGTCCTCAGGGCTTTGCACTTTATCACTTTTAACTATGTTTCTTTACATCATCAGTTGCTAAAATTTTCATATGTAAGTAGTAGAAGTTTTTTCCTTGTCTGGTAACTGTTGCTCCTTGTCTTATATATAGGTTAGGTGCTAAGATAACTTTTATTGTGTATTTCACTTCCAATGCCTGTAYTACATGACAAAGGCCTTTGTTCCTATCCTTTATTCTCCTTGATACAATATCAAGGCCAGGAAAGACTGTATGCCACTGTCAAATGAAGATTTCATTTCAGGATTTTTTCCTTTACTGGTGAAAAAATAATCCCATATCACAATTCATTATCACAGACACCATTATCATTACTCTTATGTCCATTTTACTGTCCTCATCTAATATATGTGGGTATTACATATGCTTCAAAAAGTGAGATACAATATGAAACTCTACTTCATGTAGATTAAGGATCATTTTATTGTTCTGTAGACTATATGTTGAGATTCTACTACGGGAACAAAAGATTCAATATAATGGTGCAACTAATTGCTTCTGCAGCTACCATTCCATATATGAGACACTAGTCTCTAATCCAATTCTTCTCTATTTTGAATGTTGCTCAAAGTTGCTAGATTTTGGAAAGTGTTAACCTAAATGTATTTCAAAGTCAATAACAATCATTATTAAAATGTTGATCAGATACACCAAGACTCTGACACTGAACCTAAACATGAATTATATGAACATTTGTGAGAAAAATTGGATTTAAGCCTGTGTCTGAATACCAAAATTTCATGAGAAGTTCCTTGTCCCTTTCCAGTGCATACATTTGTGTTGGGGCTAAAGTGTATGGTCAAATTTTCGGTTGTACTCCTGATATATCTCTATTTTGTATTGAACCTTGATAGACCTTGAAAAGAAGATCTGGTTTTGCATTATACTTCAAGATCTTTCAAAATGAGTACTGCACAGTGTGCACTTCTCCAATGCTACACTTGACCTAAACCTTAACCATGAAAAAAATTTAAACACATCTAGTTCATAATATGCTTCCAAGTCCATTCGTATTGAATGGTATGTCCACCCCAGGACTTATATTTGGAAACAAGCCACTACTGAATGATGGTCCAGGGTTATGGCAGGATAAATATGGAGCTTACCTTCAGCATTTTTTGCACAAAGTGGCTGTTCTCAAGCTTTCCAACCTGAGATTTTACCATTGCACAAGAGTTGCCCCTTGAACATATATTTTGTAGTATCATGGAATAACAAAATGGTGTTTACCTTTGGATGGGCACTTTCCAGCACCACTGCTTAGAGGAGAAGCACAAGGGAAAAGAAGAGGATCACGTAAGTTTTTGCTTGATCTGTCTGAACAAAGGCTGAAAATAGTTGCTACCTTTGATTTTTGATGGCCAACAGCTGCAACTTTCTGACCTAATTTGTGTGCTTGCTTGGTTTAGAATTAGGTTTACAGTTTCTAGTTCCCTAGATGAATGAGGTTTACTAAGATCAGGATTTCATATTAATTTACTATTGGTTATTTGATTTACTAGTGCATAGAATTCTTCAAGCAACTGTTTTAGAAAGTACGCTTGTTTGTCTGGTCTAATAAGTATTGTGTGGTTGTCTTGCATGGCAGAGAAATTGCATAGAGTGAATTCTGATAAAGCTAGCATGCTGGAGTATGATTGTTGTGCATGATAACATTTTATGTGTTCTTCCTTTTAGTTTCCCAGCTTCTACATTTTTGTTTTGAAACATATGTAATATATGACTTTTGTTGATGTTTTGATTTCTTTCTCCTCTTTCAGACTACCAATTTATTAGGCCTTATTTGTTGAACTATTGTGAACAAGCTGTAAATTGCTTTAACGGAACCATATTATTAGCAATACTAAGGTTCAATTCAAATTATATACTAGCACACTAATGATGCCAAATGACTCAAATTCTTAAGGGAATGGAATTTGATAATAAATTAATGGACTGAAAAGGTTTTCTTAAAAAACTGGCTGAGACTTAACATCATGAAATTTGAGACCCCTCTTCCTCATTTAAATTCTGATAAATGACTATAATTTCCTAGCTTAAAGTTTATATACAAGTACAAAACTCTTGTTTGAGGAATCTTCATGAACTTCATGTTATCAACTAGCTCTTGATGTTAAAAATTTGACTACAGGTACATAGCAGTCGGGAATGAGCCCTTTCTATCGAGTTACTCGGGACAATTCCAGTCTTATGTCATGCCTGCACTGCTTAACATACAGCAGTCCTTGGTGAAAGCAAATCTGGCAAGCTTTGTGAAACTTGTAGTTCCTTGCAATGCTGATGCCTATGAATCTTCCCTTCCCTCTCAAGGAACCTTCCGACCAGAACTGACTCAAATCATGACACAATTAGTTTCCTTCCTCAGTGCAAATGGTTCCCCATTTGTTGTCAATATCTACCCCTTTCTAAGCCTTTATGATGACAAAGACTTTCCACAGGACTATGCATTCTTTGAAGGAACAACTCACGCAGTTACGGATGGACAGAACATTTACTATAACGCATTTGATGGGAACTTTGACACTTTAGTTGCTGCCCTCAATAGAATTGGATATGGTCAGATGCCTATAGTCATTGGTGAGGTAGGTTGGCCCACAGATGGAGCCCTCGGTGCGAATCTAACTGCTGCAAGGGCCTTCAATCAGGGCCTCATTAATCGCATTCTCAGTAACAAGGGAACCCCTTTGAGACCAGGGGTTCCACYGATGGACATTTATCTTTTCAGTCTGCTTGATGAAGGTTCCAAGAGCATTGTTCCTGGGAACTTCGAGAGGCACTGGGGAATTTTCTCTTTTGATGGGCAGGCCAAGTATCGTCTGAACCTTGGTTTAGGCAATGGGCTATTGAGGAATGCAAAGAATGTCCAGTATCTTCCATCAAGATGGTGCATTGCAGATCCGACCAGGGATCTTTTAGATGTGACCAACCACATTAAACTTGCTTGCGGTGTTGCAGATTGCACAACACTCGAGTATGGGGGATCATGCAATGGAATTGGAGCAAAAGCGAATATCTCTTATGCATTCAACAGTTATTATCAGCTGCAGAAACAAGATTCACAGAGCTGTGACTTCGATGGGTTTGGATTAGTAACTTTTCTCGACCCTTCAATTGGTGACTGCAGATTTCTGGTGGGAATTAGTGATACTAGTTCCTCCAATGTTGGGCCACGTAGTAGTTGGTTTGCTGTCTGGGTTATGGTATTGTGGGTGGTCAGGTTTTTAAGAATCTGTGATGCGTAGGCGGTTTTTAAGTGACTGACTTGGTTCCCATTGTCCTGTGTTTTGGAACCCATTGCAAGTCATGCACAGAAGAATGAAAAACTACAGTCACTCAAGAGTATATTCCAAATACTTAATTATTAGTTTCATTTTAGTCATTATAGTGGTTGTATGTATCTTATGAAGAACAATACTGAAAAATAGCATTGTTGCATGATATTTCTTCTTCGGTGAAGACTTGTAACTGTAATAGTCTGGAAACTCAAATGGCATGTTCTTGATTCTTTGATTATATAGAAAGGTATGAATATAATTGACAATTCTGGTCTAGTTTTTATGTAGATTCTGTTAGGACTCAAATGGCATGTTCTTGATTCTTTGATTATATAGAAAGGTATGAATATAATTGACAATTCTGGTCTAGTTTTTATGTAGATTCTGTTAGGAGCCTTTTTCAGCTGGGACAAGGAATTGATGCACTGTTCTCATTTCTCAATCGTCACCAACTTTGATGAACTTGTCAGCGTTGTATTGTGGAATAGAATCAGATGCGTATGTTGAGTGTGTCATTTGCCCATCAAGTTGGATGTTGCAGATGTTACTTTTGAAATTTTATGCTTATTCTTTCTTCATTTTTTCCTTGAGCTCGCATTTATATAAGCATAAGATAATTATAACATATCAAAGTTCAAATAACTTGATTTGCAGTTGCAGAGAAGGAAGCTTCATGAGGACTCTTGCTTATCAGAAAAAAAGAAAAGAAAAGGAAAAAAAGGTTCAAATCACTTGGCCTACTTCTGACCGTGTAAATACAAGTTCCCTACCCAGACGTACCAGTCATGTCCTGGCCATTTTCAGCCTAGGAAGTGATATTGCACAAGATTTTATTAAGGGTGCTGCTAGATAGATCTACTCTTGAACACTTTTTATTGGTTTTTCACTCTTAAAGTCTTTGTGATGATGCTTCATGTGCACTTGCAGCCATGTCCACAGCATGCTTTCACGCACTTGATAAGAGGAGGCCCCCAGTCGAACAAGCAGCAACGACAAGCTTCATAGGCATGCAAATGCACGTCAGTTCTGTTATCCATTAAATCCAACATATCCACACAAACACAGAAAAACATCCTATTCTGGGGAAAAGAATACCTTGATGTTGAACCACGTGATCTATCGTCCCCAATCGTCCACTTGCAGTAGCACTCGCAACGAGGAATGCTGCTATCAGAAACCAGGAGAGAACAATCACCAAAGTTTCCTTCCTCGCCATCTTCTCTTCCTTCAAACACCCAAATGCACACAGGAATGACAACCCCTGCTCTCTCACAACCTATATTTTATACTAACAATTTTAATAAGACAGAACCAGTAAGTACTTCAATTATTTGCCTCTCTGTATGTAGTCTAGTACTGTGATTCAATGTAAGTTGGTATTCTTTGCCTTATTGACCATTTGATCTTATCTTTTAAGACTCCCCATCTGCATAGCAGAGCTAGAAGTCAAGATCAACCTACTATGCTTTTGATTTATTTATATTTTATTTTTGATCAAGAGTGATTTCTTAAGGAATAGAAACAGACGATTCCTTCCAAGTGCATGTTGTACAAAAGGGAGGGAGACCCATATGTTCTCCTTTGTACACAAGTACATAAATTGAGTCAAAAAATTCTGCATTAATCTGTTTTGTTAGGCGAGTCTAAACACTACCGCCTGTTGGAATGGACAGTGGGAGAAAGAGGAGTTCAAATCAGGCCCCACTAGATTGCCCCCTACAACATCCCACAGCACATCCCCGCCGTGTATTGGAAACATCTCCCCRATGATATACCAGAAATAATGATGTCATCATTGGGAGATGTTCCCCTATATGGCAGGGATGTGCTGTGGGACGTTGTGGGGGGCAATCCTGTGGGGAGCTGGTGCTGGAATGGCTGTGAAGTGGTTTGTGAGAGTTTTATGAAGATCAAGTTTGTTTTATTGGCTACAAGGGATGGTTTCAATAAAAATAAGCTTAACTCAGAAAAAGGCAAAACGTAAACAGGAAGAGCTTTTGATTTGTGTCAAAAACAGTGGGCATAATGGCTTTCTTAGCTGGACAAGTACTCATCATCCAGATGAAACCAGCGACGATTACTGGACTTCTGCAGAATTCAAGGATAACTTCACTCTAGCTCCACAAGATCGTACTTATTGCTCGAACAGGACAGAATAGTAAGAGGATAACACCCTTAGCCTCTAAGGGGATGTCAACCCGCCTACAATGCAAAGACCATGAGCCTTGCTTCCTCTGTTCTGGTTCTGGGCATCCCTTGAAAGAAAAAAAAAATGCAGATAACAAGTTGTTTTGCGATAGGTAGAAAGTATGACAGCAACAAGTTGGAGACAGCTTCCATTGTTATGCATGCATCTCCACCTGAAAATGTTAGGATCCTTCGAGTTGAGAAAGGGGTCCTCTTAATTCTTATCAATACACACAGAGGTGCCTTTGTTCCCCTTGGCTGTTAGCTTTGCGGATCAATTGCGGGAGGAATGAAAGAATTGAAATTCCTTAATTTGCAATTCTGCATTGCCAGGGAGAAAAGGCTCTTTTATATGCTAGATAGGGAGAAAAGGTCTAGAATTTCATGGATGGAGTCGCTAATTCGCTATTGGCCAAGGGTCTAGGGCGGTAGCCGGTAGGGCCCCTTGTGGCCAAGGATTCATTTACTCGCACATGTGACAGTCGTTCACTTGTGGGGCTGATGCCTTGATGTGGAGAGAGCTGTAACTGTAATTGATTATACAATGGAGCAGGTTTTCTCGTTTGAAAATCAAAATTTGGGGTGGGGATTGGTTTTGGGAATGGCCTATTCCAATTCCAATTGTTTGGTTGGACGGAATCAGAATGCCATTTCTATTCCCCCCATTTGAGGGAATGATCATTCCCTCCCCCTCGGGAATAAAATCCCATTCTTGTTGATTTCAATTCCCATTTTGATTTCTATCTGAACCAAACAAATAATGGGAATAGGTCATTTTGATATTGATTYAGACAGATTTTGATTATGATTCCTATTCTGGCTGTGATTCCTGTAGGTATGTAGCGCTCACTCAGACCCTCAGAAAACACCAAGCATCAAGATTAACACTACAAAAGTGCATGTGAGCAGCTCACAACCAATTCCCACACTGCAATGAATCCGTAGCACACCACCACCCTTGCGATGAACTCGCAATACGTATCGCAATAATCGCGATAAACCCGCGGTTCACAAAGTCAAGTCAGCGTTAGAACCCAAAGAAACCATAATCGAACCTTTCCGAGAGCCCTAAGCCTACCTAAACATGTGATGAAGTTGCACTCGCTAAGGTGTGCGATGAACTCACAGCCCGCAAACTCGCTCATGACCCAGGTCAAGACGAATTCAGGTCGAGTCCATGGTGAGGCCTGCGTATGCTCGGAGACACGTAGAACCCATGACAGCTAAAGACGCAGCGAGCCGCCACGGGGAGCTAGCTAGGCGCTGCCCGTCAAACGGTGGCGTCACCGATGCCATGCGAGATTAGTTACGATGCGCAAAAAGAGAGTAGCACACGTGAATAATGAGGGACCTTAAGGATAAGGAAAGCCAATCCTCGAGAAGATCCTCATGAGACACGTAGCGAAACCCCAGTAGCGCACCCAATAATTGACAGCGAATCAAATATTACCTTTCCGATATGTCGTCAAACGCCCTTATCTCCTACCTTTTAGGTTCTTGGGATCCCCCTATAAATAGAGGTCTTCCTCGTATTGAAAGGCATCTAATCCTTAGCATTTTGTCACCCAGCACCCCTGAGTTCTCTCTCTTTCCAATTCCCTCATTTTTATATCCTTAATTTGGAGATCTCATCCCCCTACTCACAGGCCTCTCTCTGTCTTTCAAAGAGACCACCTACACCCAAGCCCTACCCCTCCTACAATTCCTATTCCGATTCATTCCGATTCCGATCAAGGTTCAAAGTATTGGAAACACCAAGTGTATCGGAAAGGCAATTTTAAGTGACATATCGAGATATGCCTTGGATATGCATGTGCATTAGAGAAAAATTAAGATACGCATAGATATGGATGGGAACATTAATAAATACTTCAATAAATCATAAAAATGCATCAATAACACTAAATATAAGGTCTCAATGAGGTGTACATACATTAAATTAATATATTTTAGTGACTATGAAGAAATATAACATAGTCAATTATAATTTCATTAAAAAACCCTATACTTAATTATAATTTATCTTAAGTTTAAGGGATGGAAAAACCCAACTATCATATCCAAGTATCCAATCATAAAACATACATTTTCACAATTTCTAAGTGCAAATATAATTAATAATAATTATTTATTTTCAAAATTATAAAAATAAAAAATAAATAAACGTTATACAATATATTCAAAAAAATAATTATTGAAGAAGAAATTTCAGTTGCTCTATGGATATGATAGATCATCCATAGATCTATAATATAATCAATCATCATGATTAGATCATAAAATATAATTAATTATTAATTATTTTTAATTCTAAAAATATAAAAAATCAAAAAAATATTGAAGAAGAAATTGCAATTGTTCCATGGATATGATAGATAATCCATAGATCTAAAACATAATACGTCTTTCTAGGTAGATAAAAAAATACATTTTCAATTTTTTTGTTATTTTATATTTTTTTCAAATTTCTCTATAAAATTTCCATAAATCTACTCATAACATATAAAAGGTGATTTTATACATATTTAATGTAGATCAACATAGATTTAAATATTTTCAAGAATTCAAGGAAAAAAATTCATAAGATATTATGAAAATTTGAAAAAATTTACCTACTTTTGTAATATTTGTCAAAATGTGAAAAAAATCAAAAACATCGATGATTCACATGTGTTTTTTTTTTTTTTGCTCTTTTTTGCATATGTAGTACTTTATGAATGAGATTTAGAATTTTAGATGTGAAAGAATGCTTGTTTCAAGGGAAAGAAGCTTTCTTTCCCCTTTTATTTTTTTTTTCWTTTTTCGCCCTATCTTTTTCATAGCGTATTAGTTGATACGCTTGATGCACCTCTGGTACGGTGGAAAAAAGACGATACCATCAATTTTCCACTGTATCTTGTATCGGAATTTGAAAGATATGATACGATACACCCCATATTGGGCGTATCATATTGAAATTTGAAACATTGATTCCGATTTAGACAGATTTTGATTTTGATTCTTATTCTAACTGTGAACCAAATGGGGACCCTTAATAATGTTTTGAATCTTATGTGAAGATGATTTGATAGCTTATATGCTTTCTATTGTTGCAATCAAATAATTGGAAATTTTTATGCATGTTTATGTTATTTCACCTTTTTATTGCTTATATATAATAGGAAATTATATGTGAGTTCTATACTTACTTGCCTCACCCTAAAATGCAGAGAGGGTAGGGTCAGGGAGGGTTTTGCATTTTCATGTGTGGGGAGGGTTTCGTTTCCGAAAGTCCAATATGTTGCGGGTTTTTGGGAGGGTACGGGTTGGGAGGTTTGGGAAGGCAAGCAGGCTTTAGAATTTACAAAACCCTCCCTAAACCCGCCCAGTTGCCATCATTAGGAGTGTAATTGAGTCAAGTTTAGTTGAGTTCTAGGTGACTTGAGTTCGAGCTTGACTTAAAAACTTGGAGATCAAAACTCAATTGGAGCTTGGTTGTGTTTTGAGTTTCATACTCGAACATGATTTGGGTCTATACTTGTGAGATACACTTGAGCTAATTATATATAAATTCCTATTAAAAAATAAATAAGTTAATATTTAAAATATTATACATAAAGAGGGTAAATTACAAAGAGCCCCCTGAACTTTAACTTTGCGACAAAAACTCCCTCCGTTAGAATTCTATTAGTTAACTTCAAAAAAGATTCCCATTTGGTTGTTTAAAAGTTTTAAATCCCTAAACTACCCTTTTCTTATTTATTTGCATGATTTATGATTAAATTAATTTTCTAAATATAACATTGAAATCCTCTTAGTTTCTCTAATAGATCCTTGCAGATTTCTATTTAGATTCAATATTCTGGCTAGATATAAATATAAGGTTTCATTTATTTGTTTTCTAAATTTATTGGAGAAAGGAGTGGATAATTTTTATATTTTAAATGTAGAAAGACATTCATACCATTGAAATGAAACAAGAATTTAAAGAAGAAACTTGTTTTTCTATATCAATGAAATGATTCTTGTTATTTTAACTGGTTCTGTTTGGAGAAAATGGAGGTATTTTGGGGTCAATTAGGGTTTAGGAGAAAAGGGATAGGAAAAGAAAATAAAGAAAGCTTAAGTGGGTATTTTAGTAATTTAGTGCATTCCATCATCTAGCTTAATGACCAAGGGGCATTTGTTGTAAAGTGAATGTTCAGTTTTTTTTTTTTTTTTTTTTTTTTTGCAAATGAAAGTTTCAGGGGTCTTTGTAATTTACTCAATAAAAATATAATAGAAAATTTTATTGTAAAATTATAAATAAATCAATATTATGAAATATTATAAATAAAAATATATTAAAAAATAACATTTTATTAGAAGCTCGATTAGGCTTGCAAAATAATTGAACCGAGTATTATGAAGCTCGAACTCGGCTTGACTAATAACCATTCGACTCAAATCGAACTCGACTTGACTCGATAATCTTCGAGTATTTAGCGATCCGAGCCCAAGTAGCTTGCGAGTTGGCTCGGATCGCTAACACCCCTAGTTCGAAGTAAAGTATACAATTTCTAGAGGACTAAACAGTACAGAAATTCACGTGCTGTAACATTGCCTTTGCTTTTCAACTGAAACATACTGACCTTCACTCCACTGAGAGGAATGACTGCTGAGTGCCGAAGTTCTTACACTAACATTCTATGACATGTAAAATAGTTCTGGACTTCGGCATGCAGCGCAAACATCATCTACTCAGTCGTGGAGATCGTTTCTGAACATAATACGTTAGGAAACTTACTCCAATGAAGAAACACAAGCATGGATTGAAGCTCACAAAATGTAAAAAGGCCACTCCAGCCTGAATATAAAAAATTCAAGCCTTGGTATAATGCTTGTTGCATGTCCATCACTGGGATCCTCATCTCAGAAGCATGGATGGAGAAATGATTTTCACCCCTGTAATCAGTCTTTGAAAATTGGATGGACTGGATAGGACGGAGATGTATTTATTACGGCCCTAAATGTTAAAATGCTTGATTTAACATGTTTCATCAGTCTTAAGGCTTTTGGCATGTATCTGAGCCGACTATGCCTACCTGGGAGAGGCTACCTAGAGAAGAGTGGAAGCCACTAGAGGGAAAGGGCTACTTGCCACTGGATTGAGAGCTGTACCGTTAGAGGGCCACTAGATTCAGAGATGCTTAGAGTGAAGCTGCTGAGACGTCAGCTGTAAAAGCTTGATGGTATGTTACGGTCATAAATGTTACAATGCTTGGTTTGGTGCGTTCCATCAGTCTTGAGGCTTTTGGCGTATTCATCAATGACACAACATTATTAAACCCATCTGTCCAAGATTTTATCATTGCACCAAGCTATGGCCCAAGGGTCCTTCAATCTAACGAGTTGTATTAATATGCAAGTTTGTACAGCCAACCCCATCTGGTTGCTCAAAGGTTTTGTTGAGTCAGTTATCTGAGTTTTTCCTTGTCCTGTACGAGTTCGGCTTCAGTCAGGGCAAAGCCCATTCGGGCAGCTTTTACTGCCCTGTATTGAGAATATCTCCGTACTTGTGTGTTTTATTCATGGGGAGATATTCCCAATGCAAGGTTGCAAAAAGCTGTTAGAATGGTGTGGGCACAAATTTGTCCTGATAGAAGCCGATCTCTATAGATGACAATGTTGCTTTGTGTATTAATAACTGATTGATAAGATGGAGACAACAACTAAAACAAGAAACTCACCCTGTTCCTGGGTGCTTGATTCTATGTTTCAACATGTTAATTTGATAGGTCACAATTCTCATCAGTCGGCAGTTGAACAATTCTTCAGATAAACCCAGTAACAGAAGTTAATTCATGGAAGCCTTATCCGGATTATTTGGGGAACCACCATCTGGAGAAAGAGCTGCTAAAACTACCAAATGATTGTCAATTCATAATATGAATTTCTGACCATAATTATATTAACAGGCTAATTTTTCTAGGAGCGACTGGGGTTACTGCAGGACTCAGATAGGCCTTGTCTGCATTAAGCCTGACTAGAGAAAGAATTTTCTCTACCATGCCATTTTAATCAGAGAATAATAAAAAAAGCCATGTCAATTCATAATATGCTGCTTTGTAGAAAATATGAATAACAACAAACCTTTTCATAATTTTGGAAACATTTCATATGAAATTACAGAGCTATAGGATTAACTGATTTAGGATCATCATTGCACAAGCAGTTGGGGTTCTTTTTCCTGGCATGATGATCAAAGACAAGAACCTTCAAAATAGTGACTATTTACAAAACATACAACTAAATGATCATGAAACAGAAGAGCTAACCCAAACCCTCTTGCTTATGAATAGAACTTCACTCCAACCTTCTAAATTGCTACATTGTGTTGTAGAGTGTTATTAATACAACTTTATCCTTGTGGTTATATTGGCTCGGCAAATAGGACATGAAGTCAATTCTCTTCCACAATCATAGCATGTCTGCAGAAAAGAGAAGAAGAAAATAAATATAAATGACAATAATCTAATACTAAAAGTGATAAGTTATTCAGAAACTCTACCTGATGGCCACATCCAAAGGCAAGATCCTTGGCACTCCAGAAGCAAACAGGACAAGTCTATTAAGCAAAGAAGACCATTCAGAAGCTTTAGAAAAGGGTTACATGATGTACAGTTCCAGTGAAAGCTAATTCAATAGATAAAAATAAGCATGCATTCTAATCAGGAAACAGATATGCATATTTGTATACAGATCAGACACATCTTGCGCAATCGAGGATAATTTCACCAATTTTATGCATTGCAGGTAAGGAAACAGTCTAATAGACCCTATGTGTTTACATCATCCTATTGTCTATGAGGTAAGTTTCAGTTCAATAGCTCATATTTCCACATGGCTAAAGAAAGTTGTTTTGTCCATCACACTTTTGGTTGGAAAGTTAAAAGGATCAGGTAGTTTTTATTCAGAATGGAGTGTACAGACATGGTATTGAGGTTGATGTGCTAATTTAAATGTGACCAATTCAGAAGGCATCTAGCAAACAGGTGATCCAAATTGGGTGCATAATTCCTCCACCTAGCTAGTAGAATTAATACAACTCATAGCCTCTTGTATATGTATACACACCTGGTTGTTGTGGTTGTTGTGTGGACTTGGACTATTGCGTGAAGGAATTTCTACTGGAGGAGTATGGGAACTGTTGTGATATCCAGTACCATTTCCAAAGCTACTTGAGCGTGAGTACCTAAAACTGGAATTTCTGGAATTGTAACCAATGACTGGAGGAGGAATAGGAATCCTCCCTTGGGTCCCTCTCCGGCGGCTACACAAAACAGACAGAAAAACATGCTTGTCAACTGAAATGCAAGTCCAACCCTGAGCTACAAATGGAAAACGGATACGGGTAACAATACCCCAGGAGATGGAGCTCTAGTGTTGCTTTGTACTGTGAAGGTATTTCCATAAGTGCTGCCAAGGAAAAGTCTGTTTCTTTCTTGGCAGCAGGAATATTTCTTGACATGATTTCTGTAAAATTCACAAACTGCACAGAAAAACCATAATTATGGAATGATTTCTGGTAATTGACTTAAAACGAAGTTCGGTATCATAAGTATTCCTGCTTCAGATGTATCACCTGAAAATTGTCGAATGCTCGAGCAGGAATGTTGTCATCAAACTCGTGCATCATGTCCCAGGGTCCATCACCAACACCAACCAAAACAATTGACAATGGGTATTCACTATAAACAGGATTAGTAGGCTATTAGAAGGAATCCCAGATTTTATTTAATTAATCCAAAATGTATGCGATTTCTGACGAGATACTTACCTTGCTTTGACTATTGCATTAATTGTATCATCCTCCTGTGGACTCAACTGGCCATATTCTGTATCGACACTCCTTGTAACCTTGAGCACCATTAATTATTATTGTTATCAACATTATGAGGTTTGGAAATTCACTAAAAACAAAATTTTTATTATCTGATTCCACTGCAAAGAATGAAATCAAAGTCTTCTCAGGTTATCTAAAGTGGCTCCAATTAGCTGACAAAATGAACTCTGGTAGCTACTATAGCAATCCTACTTTTAAATACATAAACTGAAAATGATTAACAGAGGGATATAAATGGCACAATTTCAAACCTGTCCGTCTGCAATGATCAGAAGAACATGATACTGTCCACCACTATTCTCCACAATACCTATTGCAGTTTCAATTATTGGAGCAAAAGATGTTGGCCCTGTTGCAAAGGAGAAGAACAATAGTCTTAGTTGAATTGTTGGCAAGAAGKGAATAGAAACAGAAGTTTGAAGAACCATTTGCACAACCGGCTAAATGAAGTTGTGGAACCAATTCCCTATATCGTGTTAGTGCCTCCTCAAAGCCATTACAGGGCCTATTGTCTGGATAAAAGCTGAAAACCTCCTGATCATGTGTTGATGCTGCAAGACAGATGCTAAATGTGCATTAGATCCAATAAATGCAGAGAAAATTTGACAAAATGCATATACTGCACCAAATGTGTAAACCCTCGTATATGCTGAATACCAACCATCTCCAAAGCCAAAACAAGGAATAAGGTTGTCCTCATCAAAACTTGAAAGAGTCCTTCCAATTATGGATATTGCCTGTTCATAGGGATTTGGAGATTCCCCAAGATGATGCAAACTCTTATGGTTGAAAGATCTTGCACCGGTCCATTCATTGCTCTTTGTGAAATCAATTCCAATAATGAGATTTGAAGATTCAAGGCCTGATTGAGAAAGAGCCTCCGTTACCTAACATGAAAAAGAGTCAAACTTCTATTCTGATGTCAAATAATAGAAATAACTATTGAATGGCTTAAATCTGTTACTACAGGTYCCAGACAACTGCTTTCATATATGAGAATACATTATTTAGAATCATAGATCATGGATCATGTTGAGTAAGTGGGTAAAGATGAAAATAAATGCCAAATAGGTTTTGAACTCTTCCCTTTTCCTCCCTTCATTCATTATATTCATGCAAGGAATAAACACAAATCTATGATATGCAGGTTCATGAGTACCATATTATGCCCAACACTATAGCTTTTAGTGCAAACTCAGTGTCTAACCACTTGTCCAACCATGTCCTTTCTGTATTTGGGTATCACAGAAAAATACTAAAAGAATAACATATCCAATAATACATAGCTTTCTTGATTCAATATTAGGTTAAAAGCTAAAAACTTTTCTCTGTTGATGTTATGTTTAGAGATTTAGAGCTGCCTATAACAAGCTGAAACAGTCACAAGAAGAATAGCAATAGTACAGGTGCCCATTTCCCAGATTGTGTTTTGAACTCATGATTCAAAAGATACTTGAGTGTGTGAAAGCAAATGTAAATAGAAGATGTAGAAGAATCATTTTACCTGTTCAATAGAGTTGTAACTGTCAGGAATCTTTGTGTACCTTCTCTGCACTCGATTTCTTACATCACGCTCTGCATAGTTCCTAGAATAGGAGGGATAAGGTGAAGCATTTGAAACTGGGGGAGGTCCATAATTATATGCTGGACGATAGTAGCTTTGTTGTCTGGAGTGTTTTCCCCCCATAATCACCAGGGAACTTTTCAACTAACAGCTTCAGCTCTGGCAAGCACCTATGTAGCAACTAGCATTGATTGAACCATCCAACCATAGCCAAACTGGAGATTGGTTGACCTCAACTTCATTAGTGTATTTTTTCCCAATAATAAAACTTACAGAAAGAACTTGAGAATGAAGGTATTAACAAAATTCAGAACTGTCTGAGTTATTTTAGAAGAAGTGGTAAAAATTTCAAATATCTCCATAGCACAACTCCCTCCCCAATTCCACAAAGTTGAAGGAGGGCTTGACTTCTAAAAGTAGAAGCCAACCGATGACAGAGAATTCCAAATGAAAAGGGAACAGCCTAGAGACTAAGATATAAAGATTTAGAGAAAATGCTTATCAAATTCCAAATTTGCATGGAAGTATATGCATTCCAGAACCAATAAAAGAAGCCCAAGTCTCAAAATATTCCAATAGGAACCCAAGAGATCCACAGGGGTATTATACCAGAAAAAGTAATATTATTCCAAAGGCAAAAATGATTGCAGCAGCAGTGATTAACAGGAAAAGAACTCAACGTACCATCACAAGGCAAACAATCTGGATTTTCAGAAGTCAATTAAAAATCAGAAGCTTTAATTTCAATATAACCCAAGCAAACGAAGAGAAGTAACTACCATTAACGGGCCGCAGAAGAAAATGGGAAAACCTCTCTGGGATCCGATGGACCACTGCAAAAATCTGATATGAAGGTGTTTCCCATAACCAGAGCCAAGATAAGATTAAAATTATGAGGGGAGAGAGAGAGAGACTTCGAAGCAATTTCTAATTTCCTATGGTAGCTGGGTCAATAGACTCAATACCAAAAGTAAACTAAATTATATCAAATCACCAAATCAAATATATTATTAGTACGACATCAGTTGTTATTCGGGCGTCCCTCTCACCCTCTTATGAATAGAACACATACCTAAAAACTCATTTGAAAAATGATCACTCTAAGAAACTACCCAGAAAAAAAAAAAAAAAAAAAAAAAAACGAATAGACTTCTCTCTTTTTCTCTCTTATATACCAACACGAAACCTTCAAGCGAATTTTCCTTGAAAGGAATAAACAAAGAAAACCATCTGCTGTTGAATAGTAGTACTTGAAAATTGAATTAAAAAACAGTTTTTCTTTTATTTTCTTCTGTTCTTTCCCTATCACTATCTCTAAATTACAACTAATAAAACAAGGGTCTGAACTATTGTCTTTAGTGATTAAATCTTTATTTATATAATGTAAAGATAAGTCGCAAGGAAGCAACAGGCAGGAAATGGAGCAAATTTTTTTTTAATACAAAGAACCAGTCCAGATACTCAAACACTGAATGTGGATTACCATACAGATATACTGACAATGGATTATTAGTATTATATTATTATTGTACAAAAATATCTAGTTGAGAATAATAAACCGATAGTAACTTAATTGAACAAATGCTTTTATTTGGTGAGGAGAGAGAAAGAAACAGAGAATAAGTTCAGGATAGATGACGATTACCCACCAACAACAACAACACGCCACCATTCGTCGATCTTGGATTCAACGACAAAACGATTGTTCGTATCGGCCATTTGTCTCCATATGTAATGTAGTTAGTTGATAACATCAACTTTGTTGTCAACTAGCAGTCTTCCGCAACTGTTTAAGTATTTGCAGTCAGGCCACAGCTTTTCTTTCACAGACGTCTTTGAATGGAACGAAGAAGAACAAATTTATACATGGTTTTTGGAGATAGTAAAAGCTGTAGATTTATTTTAGAGAAATGGAAACCGATTGGCAAGTAGAGGAATGGAAATAAAATGCAAGACAAATAGAAAGATTTACGTGGTTCGGGACGAATCCACTACTTAACAATGGAGATTTACAATTATAGTGTTGCAAGCCTCTCACCAAAATCCGCAACTGTCTCCTCCATTCTTACACATTCTCTTGCCCTCTTTCTTGACCTCATATCTAGGGATGGCAATTTTCCCCCGTCCCATCAAGTAACTAGATTCCCTAATCCCATGGGTTTGAGGGTGGAGATTGCTTTGGGAGTAGACATGTTCATGGGCCGGGTCGGGCTTTTACTTTTCATAAACATGATTTTGTTAGGCTTGAGCCCGAGCCTGGCCCTAACAAAAAGCCAGAAGCCCAGGGCTGAGCTCGAAGCTTGACCTAACAGAAGAAAGAGCTCACTGTCGGTGACTGTGTTCGTCGGTGCTGAGTTCGCATCTATGAGAGAGAGATGCGATTTTGACAATGAAAAGAGGAGTCAGTTTGCATCCGAGAGAGAGAGAGGACTCACCGCCACCGCCGCCTCGCTGGTGTMTGAGATTTGAAAGAGAAGAAGTGAGAAGAGGAACGAGAGAGAGAGAGAGAAGACTCACCACTGGTCTGCCGGAGTTGTTGCGCCGGTGAATGTTCACTGGTTCTGCAGCTACTTGAGAGTGTGAGGAGGATGTGAAGAGAAGAGAGGTTCGGCACTGGGTAGTTCGGCTAATGGGAAATGTGTAAAGAGATGAATGAGAAGGGTTAGGATATTAGGATTTTTGGGTTTAGTCTATAGGTCAGGCCGGGCCGGGCTATTTTGGCAAATCCCGAGCCCAGCTCGAATTTATTGCAAGCCGTGCTTTTTGGCCCGAGATCAAGYCCGCAGACTCATTTGCGTGTTCAAGCCCGTCTAGGGGCCGAGCCATGAACAAGTCTACTTGGGAGGGAAGGATTGATAGTGATACCTGACCAAGGATGGAAACAGAGATAGGGAGTGAATTCCTCTAACAGCCTGGACCTCGATTATATGTATTAAATGTATGTATATATAATATTATGGGTAAATTCTTAAATTACCCTTATGATTGAGTAAGTATAACTTTACTGTTTGAAAATTGACTGGTTCTACCCCTATTGTCTAAATCTTCCCTGCCATTAACATCCCATCATAAACTGTTCAAATGTGCCATCACGGGAATGTTATAACTTTGAAATATCCCAAAATTGCCCTTTATGCTTAAAAATGCCCTTTCAAAAATCCCATCATGTAACCCTTCAAGTCTGCGTTGAAGTACCCTCATAGGATTGAACCACTCACTGGTATTAGCTCAAAGGGGAGAAGGGGAGGGACCGGCACCGGCGTTGCGCTCTGCATCGACGTATATGAGTTCGTATCTCCACGGGGGAAGCACGTGAACTGACGCAGGTTGAAGACTCGCATGGCGACCATGTACATCTGAGTTTATATCAGCACGCCCCGTCTGGCCCCCGCACACGCCCACCCCACAC